AATCACCCCCCGGGGAGGATGGCCACGTCGCAATCCCTTCTTCTCCATTCTCCTCTCGGGATCTTGGGCACGCACGCACACGCGCCCGGCGTGAGTTTAAGCCACTGGGTCCGGGACTCGAACAGCAGTCGACTACGTGGGAGTCCAGCGACATAGCCATTACACTAACTGCTAGTCCCCAAAACATTTCCGTCTTAAGGTCGGCCAATGGCATGGTGGTTGAGGTGGTTGGATCCCATATGGCTGGTTTTACAGTTTGAGTCCTGGACTCAGCAGCTTGAAAAACAAGCCAGGCACGTGCGGATGTGCTTAAAATCCCAAGAGGAGAATGAAGAAGGGACCATGGCATGGCTATCCCCCATCTAGGGAGAGCTTTCTCATTTACCCTCTCTCTTATTCTGTCTCTGTGGAGCACACACATACTCTATAGCAAGTTATAATAAAAAATAAAACGTCAGGGGGTAGCAGGTGGCATGGTGGTTAAGTGCAGTGGACTCCCACATGACCGACCATGGTTCAAGCCCCGGACCTGTGGCTTGTTTTCTTGCTTTCCTCTCTCTATTTCTCTGGTCAAATTAAAATAATAACGATGATGACAAATAAAATTAAATAATTCTTTAAGAAAATAAGAAAATATCTCTCTTTTGTCCTTTAGTATTCTCTTTCTCACTGAAAACTTTTGTACAACTACCATGCATTACTTTAGTAGTTAAAATACAGATACCCATTAATATATAAAATAAGGGGGGGAAAGAAACAGGTGTTCTCAAGCTGTTCTTACCCTTACTGGGTTTCACTACTCCATCTCTAATATACAGAGTTGATGGCCCTTCTACCTAACTAGGATCACGTGCCACTTGGACCTTCAAAAAAAGGTTCTCTGCCTTGCTACCATATTCCAAAAGCAAGAAGCTACCTGTTTTATTTCAGACAATACATATCCTAGTCCAGCAGGTGCTTTCCTATAAGCACAAATGGATGATGGCTGCGGTTTGACAATAACAATGATAGCAATAATCACAAGGCACTTACTATTTATAAGGCTCAACCTACATCATTTAATCCTCACACAACCCTGAGAGGGAACTACCACCATTATTCTCATTTTCACAGATGAGGAACTTAAGACAAAACAAACTTGTCCACAATAAGAGAAAGGGAGGATCCAGGACTGAATGCAGGGATTCTGACCGCAGAGCCTACCCTCTTACCCACACAAATATAGCCGTGAAATTCTTACAGAGGTAAAAGTCAAAGTCTATGAAGGAAGTTACCTGCTGGATTCCAGTAAGCTCTTTATTCAATTCTTCCAGCTGGTTAGCTATCTTCTCCACAGACTTCTCCAAATCTTTTAACTTCTTTAGTTCAATCTCTTCCTCTGGACTGTTCTAAACGTTTAAGAATAAAGTGAAGTTGGGGCCAGGCAGAGGCATGGTGATTAAGGGGCTAGATTCCACATGCTGACTGTATGGTAGGAATCCTAGACTACTGGCTTAAAAGACACACCAGGTGTGTGTATGTGTGCCCAAAATCCCCAGAGGAGAATGGAAGAGAGAGGATTGCAGTGTGGTCATCCCCTGAGGGGTGCTTTCTCACGCTTTCTCTCTTTGTCTCTCTCTGGCAAATGCAATGGTCCTATAGCAAATTAAAAAAAAAAAAAAAAAAGTCAGGACCAGCAGATGGTGCAATGGTTACCTGGCCGGGCTTCCATGTAGTCAACCATGGTTCAAGTCCCAAACTCGGTGGCTTCAAACTCATGCCAGGTGTGTCCATACATGCCCAAGATCCCAAGAGGAGATCTTGGGATCTTGGGCCCAAGAATGCCCAAGAATGGAGAAGATATTGTGGCATGGCCATCCCCCTTTAGGGGTGATTTCTCCCTTTCTTTCTCTCTGTCTCTGTCTCTCTGGCAAGCGCATGTGCCCTATAGCAAAAATCTTTCTATTAAAAAGAAAAAAGCGTCAAAAATTACCAAGGGCCAGGCTAGCTCTGTATGCTAGTGGTTAATTAAGGGAGCCAGATCCTTCATGTCTGACTATGGTTTGAATCCTGGCTCTGGTGGCTTGAAAAACACACCAGGAGTGTGTGAATGTATGTGTGTGTCCAATATCCTGACAGGATGGGGAAATAGAGAAAAGATCGCAGGGGTGACCACACCACACTTTCTCCTGTTTTTCTCTCTCTATTGAGTGCAAACACCATCTGGCAATTAAAAAAGAAACTACCAAGGGCCAGATGTAGTGGCACAGTGGTAACACAATGCTCCACAATGTTGAAAACACAAGGGAAGGTCCCAGGTTCATGTCCCAGGGTCTCCCTGTACATACTAGGAATACATGCACATGCCCATGATCTAAACTGGCTGAGGCTAAGGGTAGGATTGCTGTGTGAAGACCCTGTTGGGGATGGCTGTCTCTTTCTCTCTGTCTCCCTTTCACACGAAAGAAATAAATACAAATAAACTTAGATAAAGAAAAATAAATGACCAAGAACAGCAGTCTCTGTCAGCAAAATAGCTGACCACAAGAGGCTAAGACACTCACCTAGAGAATGGTCTTTACTGCTGCTTCTTGGAAAGCAAGTCAAAAGAGTTATACATTAAAGTTTCTATCTACAAAGGCTCCAGACCCAAAAAGGTGTTAGAGAAACATTCTGCCACGAACCGTGACAAGTTGGGCAAGAGAAGGAAGCCATCCAAGTGCCAGGTTCAGCCTCAGCTCTGAGCTGATCAACAGCCAGACTAAAGCCTAGGGAATAAACAAATTATAGTGGACACCTGTGAGGAGCACAGACTGGCAAGGTAAGCAGAATTTTACCATGCCTTGAAATGGAATTCCTAAATGTTGCCTGCCAACTGAGCTCACCAACTTAATACGATAATGACAACGACAATGAAAATTTTTACTGAACACTTCCTACATGCCAGGTACAATCTTAAGCACATTACTTGTATTATCATCATTTTTAAAATTCTTATAATTTTTTTAAGGTTTTTGCCATATGGTGCATGCAGTCACCAGGGAGAGAAAAAGACTGACAGTGAGAGTGAAAGTGAGAAATCGCCCCTGGGGGAATGGCCACAACACAATCCCTTCTCCTCCATTCTCCTCCCAGGATTTTGGGGCGTGTATACACACATGCCCAGTGTGATTTTTCCACCAAGTCTGGGACTCGAACTGTGGTCAGCCATGTGGGAGTCCAGTGCCTTAACCACCACACCACCTGCTTGTCCCATCTGTATTATTTTTTTAAGCCTTATCACAAACCTGTGAGGAAGGTACTGTTTTACAGATAATAAAATTGAAGGTAATATAGTAAAGTAACCTAAGGTCACACGGTTCAAAGAGATGGACCAGATTCTCAGTAAGACCTGGCTCAACACACTCCACAATGATCTAAGTGGAGGTTCTTTAGCTCCTACAAAATCAACCCATGAGTTCTGCCTACTGCCCATCACCATCTTGCTCATCCTTGAGCAAAAAATTTAGACTATTTTTTTCTTCTCTCACCTAAACAATCAGTAGCAAGGCCAGCAGTTTGTTTTGTTAACACCATCCACATTGTTTAATACCTCTTCGTAGCTAAAGTTCTGAGTCTCAGTGCCCTGGCAGTCTGGATTAGATTTTCTTTGCTTCCACTTTGCTAATCTCTGCCTTCTAGCTACTCAACTGCCTCACTTGAAAAAAGGGAAATTCAACCATTCCACTGTGTCATAATGCTGGGCTAGCCACAGCCTTCTCTC